CATGGTTGTTTGTGTTTTGGGCAGTTTAATGGGTCAACATAAAGTTGGAGAGTGGGTGAGGCCAGAGGACGTTCTGGAGTGTGTTAAGAAACATCGCCTTTTTCCTCAGGCTGAGGCCTCCATCACATTACGCATTCCTGATATTCAGAAGTGCTTCAACCTTGATATTCAGGTATGGCTCACATACACAAATAAACAAAAGTCATCTGGAGTAATGGTGTTCACAGTGTGTACATAATCACTTTGGAACTTAATTAAAAGTCCTGACAACCTTTGTTTCTGATCACTAGGGTCCTAACCCATATGCTGCCATGGCTGTCATATTGCTCTTAAGTGAGAATGTGGGTGATGTGCAGGACTTGGTGTTCCTGCTCACCGGGTGCATGTCGCAGACTGCCATCGCAGAGTACCTCAGCCACATGGCCATGATGTTGCTGGCTTTAAAGAGGAACAATATCCAGATTAGCAACAGGTAAGAGCTGCAAGTGTCAGCATTTTAAATGAACACATCAAACATGACTTCCAGTCACCCTCCCCATGATTATTATTCTTTGGTGCCTCCTCAGGTTGCATTACAACATCTACTATGTACTTCATCTGATGGAGAATGGTCCCTTTTCTGTTTGCTCCAGTCAGAGCTGGTGAGATCCAAAAATACACTATTTCACTTCATAATGACATGGTGCATTAAAGGCTTAATAGTATGAAAGAGCTCAGCAGCAGTTTTACATTCAGTGTGTCTGCAGGTCTTAAAGTCTTAAAAATCGCCAAATCCAGTTCCCTCAATAAAAGGACTTTGAAAGTATTAGTCTTAAATTTATTTTATGTGATGTAAACTCATGGACAATTGGAATAGATAGTAAATCCCTTAAAAAGCTTCAAATTCAGATGTTTTTCTGTCTTGTATTTTGGTTGCCTGTGAGACGAAATGTTACAGATTGCCATTTTTAAGTACTGTGTTTTAACTTAAAACATTAACATAGAACAGTTAACATACATTTAACTAAGCAAGACTGAACTGATTCATGCTTATCTGAGGTTTGGTGTTTTTAATAGTCTGTATGTGTGTGTTGTGTGTGTTGGTGTTTCTGCTAGGCAGTCTGAGATTGAGCTCACACGTGAACAGAAGCAGATTCTCAGCCACAACATCCAGGCAGACCATGTGGTCAAGATCATAGCTTTTGCAGGTACAAAATGCCTCTTAACTAAACGTTTCTGTTTTGTATTTGGCACAGACATGCACAAGCTCCACCTCTGTGAAGGTAGGGCGGTTGGAGAGGGAGGGAATGGATAGAGCAGGTTAAGTAAATGTGTGTTTGGGTACTTCATTTGACTGGGGTGGCTTGCATTGGAAGTGGAAAGGAGTTTTGTGACAGGCAGTCACTGCTGCTGATGGCACATTAGCTGTCCACATTCTACAATCCTCTTGTAACTCAACCAGGAAAAATGGAAAAACAGTGTTTCACTAACCAGTGAAGAAGTCTATCAGTTTTTCTGAGCAGAGGAAAGTCACTGTAGCCCTCCACCTGTTTATACTGTTTGTATAAAAGAGAAGCATAAGTAAGCTACAATCATACGTTTGTGCAGTCTTGTAGTTGCGTATCAGCTCTGACCTAAAAAAAACTCTGTAGTTCTGTTTAAATGTAATGTATAAATATATGTTGTTTACCTAATTATTTCTCCCAGTTGGGCTTCATGTTGCTTAATGTCAGACTGATTTTTATGAGTGTTATTTTGTTGAAACTGAATTTAGCAGTCCAAGCCCTGAAAGTGCCATTTTGAAACTTGTAGCCCACCTGCACTAATGATAGATTCCAGAAGTGCCAGTATGTCATCTGGGCCAGTCTCGCATATCATAGTGTTAAAGGTTAAACCTCAGTGCTGTCTGTCACAGGTACAGGGAAGACGACCATGCTGATTAAGTATGCTAAGCAGCGGCCACACCTCCGTTTCCTGTATGTGGCCTTCAACAAGTCAGTGGCCCGTGAAGCAGAGTGTCGCTTCCCCAGAAATGTGGACTGCAAGACTGTCCACTCGATGGCCTACAATGATGTTGGGAGGAGGTGAGAAGCCAAGTTTGAACTGAGATTCTCCCAGTGGCAGTGACAGACTGGATTGTTTGTATTCATAACTACTGACAATTTTTTTGAACATAATATCTGAGATGTGGTGGAGGTGGGAGTCATTCCACACTTAAAAACATAGTTGTTAATCAGATGTCATGGAAGGAGCCTTGCTGTTGGCTTGAGGACTGCTGTTTCCTGTTCTGCGGTAATCGTTCTCACTTCCTGTTTCCTGTGCTTGCTGCCAGATTGTTTACGTATTAAGCTCACCATTTCCTAGGTTTATCTGAATTGTTTGAGTTGATAACATACGCCTGCACTACTTAAGCACCTGCGTTACAGAAGTTCTTGCTAATTACCAAATTTTAATTGCTACTTTAGGTTGGCTAGCTTAGAAGCCAGGTAAGCTAGTAGCTTAGTTGAGAGTGTTGTAGAACTATTTTGGTTCTTGTTACCATTGCTAACTCTAAGAGACGAGACAGTCCAAGTAACTTCAAAACAGTGCTGATTTATTCAAAGGATCACAGGTAAAATTAACATTACACGCTCAGGTATCTTGCACCTCCAAACTGCTCGCAGGTGTGTGTGTATCTGTTGATTAAGTGGTGTGTAACTAAAAACATTCTCACGACCTCTAGAACATGTCGTGACTTAAACATAAGAACATATTATGGCTAAGGCTACAGTTATACACGTCATAATAATAATATTAAACATCCTGTCTGCTGACAGTCATCAACTCTTCTCTCTAGTTATCCTTGACCAGATGTACCCTGTAGAAACTCATAAGCATGACTAAGCATTTAACAGTCTAACTAGACATCCTATCTCCACTAAACATTTCTAATACATAAAGTATCTATCCAATTTCTATCTGACTAAAAATACCTAACACCGGGATCTCTCTTCTCCAGCAGCTTCTCTGATCCCAGCGCTGTATGGACTTCACCTGTGCCCAGACTTTGAGTAAATTTCCTGTTGATTTTAAACAGTCCTCTCCTGTCTTCACTTCTCGCGTCAGAGTCAGTATGGTAAAAAGTACCGGGTACAACATGGGGAAGCCAAGAATCAGTTGTTATACCCCAGTTCTTTTATTGAACAGATCTGAATGAAGACGGAGTCCGACTTGCTTCATTTTAGTGCTGGTTTATTTAAAAAAGGCCACAAATAAAAGTTACAGAAGCACAAACCCGGGTGGCTCCCTCCCTCAGACGAGCTGCTGGAGAAGAGAGATCCCGGAAACACAGAGCCTAATACATTTATAAGATTTTGGGCTAACCCCTTACACAGACAGCTGTAAAAACATCAGGCATTAGAGACAGTCCGACGTCTCCTTCTCTTTTCTAGAGCTCCACATGTTTGGAGGCATGCTTGGAGCAGCTGGACATAACAAAATGAAGAATTCCGTGTATGTGTATGTTGTTTGCGTGATGTGTAACTAAAACATCCATTTAGACATAATTCTTACACAATATTAATACAAGAAAACAAATGGTGTCAAGGTACACTTTTCAGAGTCAACATTATCTTCTAACCTTAAAGTAGAGCACACATGAGCAGACTTTGAATCTTACTAAACTGCATTACTAACACACATTAAAGTCTAACACATTAAAGTCTAATAATTATCTGACTAATTTATTAATTTCTAACACTATGTTAGAGTACATCTCTGATTATATAGACATGCAACAGTAGAATAATCTTGACTTTGGCTTGTTTTCCTGCTCTTTTACCTGAGGTATATCTGTTTTTTCCACTTTATAATCACATCATTTGTTCTGCACCTGTGATCTTCCCTGTGGCAGGTACCACTTTCATAAGAAACTGACCCATAATCTGAAGCCTTTCACCATCAACTCTGTTCTGCCTGAAGGTCGCAGTGGCTTCACCAAGGCCAAAGTGGTAACATCAACCCTGAACAACTTCATGTCTTCAATAGACCGGGTCATCACTACCACACATGTCCCCAGCACATACTTAACTAATAACATCAGGGTGTACATAGACAATCTTGAAAAACAGGTATGGACAAATTAATGTGTACAAGTGACATGCCTCATTTTTTTGAATAAATAATCAGCAGCATGAGTGGTACAAAGTCAAATATAAACTGCATGTCTTTTATTGCAAAATCCTAGTTATTTGTCAGTGAAGCACGGAAGATCTGGGCCAAAATGAAGGATCTGAATGAGACAGAAGTAAATGCCTACCACATGACCCACGATGGTATGCTAATTGTAAATTAGTGAAATGAATACAAGTAAGATTAGAAGGAACTCTGCACTGATGGTCACTGGACTATTTCATTCCCAGGTTACCTTAAGTTGTGGCAGCTCCAAGTCCCCAAACCGCGGCTGTCTGACCAGTACGATGTCATCTTCATTGACGAGGCCCAGGACTGCTCTCCGGGTAATGATAGAGTAACTGTTATGTAGTTCTCCAGTGTTGTGGAAAAGCATTGTTGTGACTATTTAGATATTGACAGTCTTTTTATTTTCACCCATCTCAGCCATCATGGATGTGCTGTTGTCTCAGTGCTGTGGGAAAATTCTGGTTGGAGACCCACATCAGCAGATCTACACCTTCAGAGGAGCTGTCAATGCCTTGCAAATTGTTGACCACACACATGTGTACTACTTGACGCAGGTAAACACAGCAATACACAGGCATGTAGATTTTACACAGTAAAGCACCAGTAAAAGTAACATTGAAGGTTTATGAGCATCAAATATGTAATTAATAAAATAAAGTTAATTATATTGTGTTAATAACAGAAAGGAACTACTGTCACACTGATGTCTTTGTGCAGAGCTTTCGGTTTGGTGCTGAGATTGCCTATGTGGGTGCCACTATCCTCTCAGTGTGTAAGCATGTCCAGAAGATACTTGTAGGAGGAAAGCAGAATGGTAATTAATGCAAACTCTTCATGGAAATGTAGCATTCTTCAAACTGGCCATGGTTTTAATGCCCTGGAAAGCCAACTGTCATGCTATTCTAACTGCCCATTATAAGGCGGTGTGTGTGATAAGACTGCAGACAACATTATGGAAGCTGTGAAGATGGGTGTGAGTCAGTCCCGGGGGAAGACAGCCATCTTGTCGAGATGCAATCTCGGTGTGTTCAGCACGGCCGTCCAGTTGACTGATCCCAACCCTCACTGCCGTGTCCACATCATAGGAGTGAGTGTATATATATGTACACGCAGGCAAAGTAGTAGTAGTAGAAAGCATATTTTACATCATGAAGTTGGGTCAGGTTAAATGTGGCATCCTTGACCTTCATTCCACCACTTCTGCCATGTCTGTTTGAAATGAGAGAATGTGTTGAATCAAAGAAAAACATACTTTATTGTCTGATAAGTAAACCTCTGATGTGATAGAGGTTTCAGCCTCATCACAGCCACAGAAAAACAAGCAGGAAGGGCTGCTCGTTTAAAAGAATTTTGACATTTTGGAAAATATACTTATTGACAATTTTGTTGAGGAGAAAATTGATTTCACCAATAAATTAGGATCACACTCAATATCAAGAATTCACATTATTCTGTCATAAGACAAAACCTTTTCAACCATCTGGCCTTCATCACCCAAACATAATTTATTTCACCCTCATGTTTATACAGTAAATATGAAGCCAGAAGCCACTTAGCTTAGCACAAAGACAGGAAACAGTATTGGCTCTGTGAAGGTAATAACATACAAATGTTGTTTTTACATATAAAGAGCCATGCTAGCCTTTTCCTTGTTTCCAATGTTTACGCTCAGCTAAAATAAGCTAGCTGGCAGCTCACTGTAGCTTCATATTGAATGGACAAATGTGAGAGTGCAGTAGTATCAGTCTTTTCTAAGTTTCGACTACACAGGACACTCTTATAAAAGAGAATTTTAATCTCAATGAGGTTCTCCTGGTAAAATAAGGGTTAAATAAAATAAGCACATTTTCTAAAATGTCAAAATATTGCTAAATTCAAAATTCATTAGCATATAGCAGAATTTACTTAAATTAAACATCAGTAGTTGTTGGTGTTAAGTTGATCTTGCCTTTATTAGCTGCTTATTATTATTGTCCAGTGCATTCCCACTCTTATCAGAGTGCATTCAAAAATCCATATAGTTGAAGTGCTTACGGGTATAGCTTTTCCTTCAGGGTGTCGAAAAAATCGGCCTGGACAGGATCCTAGACATCTGGCGCCTGATGCAGGTGACAGGGAAAGTGATCCAAGGGAAAAAGCAGCAACCAAAATGTAAGACTCAAACAAATGCACACATATGTATTTTATCTCTTTTCCCCCCTAAAGCTGACATTTGATATTAATGTTGAATTTTCTCTGCCTTCAGTTAAGGATCCTCTTATTCGCTCCTTTGCAATGAAAGGTCCAAATGCCTTCTGGGCTCTGAAGAAGTACATCATGCAGACCGAGGACTTGGAACTGTCGGCCAAACTCAACATTGTTGAAAAATATGGAAATCGAATCCCTGAGCTGGTGACACGCCTGCAAAAGTGCTCTGACAAAGACATTCACACTGCAGGTATGGATACACATAACTGCAAGGACAGTTGTTTTTCCCAGAAGAAAAATTATGCACTTGCATGATGGCCTTACCAGAGTACTGGTGTTAAATGGGAGAGGGCTAAATTATTAACTCACAGTCGGTTCAGACAAAAATAAAAAATTAAAATGTAAAATTCTAGTCTAGTGTTTCTGCACATAAGACCTTCCATATTTTAAATCTCTGAAAAACTGTATTTTTTTCATTGATGCCCACTGTATTCTGCACTCAACTCTTCTTCCAGACTTTATAGTTGGAACAGTCCACAAGGCTAAAGGTCTGGAGTTTGACACTGTGATGATTAACGATGACTTTGTCAAGGTTCCGTCCTCCAGGCACAACCTGCGCCACCATCCTCACTTCTCATTTGGTTAGTGTTTGTTTGGACAAACCTTTCTTCTGCTTCAGAAAGCCCATTAATAAATAAACACTAAATTATTCATAACAAAGTGAAAATGTTTTTTCTGAATTTTCTGCAAATTAATTAAAAATCAAAACCTAAAAAATTCTTAGACGTGTATCCACCAGGGGGCACTGACAGGCTGCATCTTACATTGTAAAATGTCCCTCAGAATGTATCAAAAACGTTTCAGTAAACAGATTGGCAACTGACATTGAACACATTCTCAAAAGCAATACTTTAAGAAATTATTTGTTTCCCTGCTTAGCCAACATTCCAAGTGATGAGTGGAACCTACTGTATGTGGCAGTGACTCGTGCCAAGACCTCGCTGATCATCACTAAGAGCATCCGACACATCCTCACAGTGGCTGGGGTAGGACATATCAGACAGCACATGTCACCTCTTATTCTAAATGCTTCTGTGGTTCAACCCATAGCCACTAGTATATCTGTGTATCTGATAGGATGTAGTTAGGCACAAACATGTGCACATACTTACAGGCTCCCAAGGATCTAATTTACAAACCCCATTTCTATTGAAGCTGGGACATTGTATTCTGTTCTTAATTTACATTTTACACAATCACTTGCAAATCCTTTTTGATCCATATTTAATTGAATACACCACAAAGACAAGATATTTAATGTTCAAACTGATAAACTTTGTTTTTTGCAAATATTCACTCATTTTGAATTTGATGCCTGCAACATGTTCCAAAAGAGCTGGGACAGGGGCAACAAAAGACTGGGAAAGGAATGCTCAAAAAACACCTGTTTGGAACATTCCACATGTGAACAAGTTTATTGGAAACAGGTGAGTGTCATGATTGGGTATAAAAGGAGCATCCCAAAAGGCTCAGTCATTCACAAGCAAGGAGGGGGTGTGGTTCACCACTTTGTGAAGAACTGCGTGAGCAAATTGTCCAGCAGTTTAAGAACATTTCACAACATACAATTGCAAGGAATTTAGGTATTTCATCATCTACAGTCCATAATATCATCAAAAGATTGAGAGAATCCAGAGAAATCTCTGCATGTAAGCGGCAAGGCTGTAAACAAAGACTGAATGCCCGTGACCTTCGATCCCTCAGACGGCACTGCATTAAAAACAGACATCATTCTGTAAAGAATATTACCACGTGGGCTCAGGAACGCTTCGGAAAACCATTGTCAGTTAACACAGTTCATCGCAACATCTACAAATGCAAGTTAAAACTACCATGCAAAGCAAAATCCATACATCAACAACACCCAGAAATGCCGCCGGCTTCTCTGGGCCCGAACTTATCTGAGATGGACTGATGCAAAGTGGCAAAGTGTGCTGTGGTCTGACGAGCCCACATTTCAAATTGTTTTTGGAAATCATGGATGTCGTGTCCTCCAGGCTAAAGAAGAAAAGAACCATCCAGATTGTTATCAGTGCAAAGTTCAAAAACCAGCCTCTGTGATGATATGGGGTGTGTTAGTGCCCATGGCATGGGTAACTTGCACATCTGTGAAGGCACCATTAATGCTGAAAAGTACATACAGGTTTTGGAGCAAAATATGCTGTCATCCAAACAGCTTGGCTTTGTAGTAAAAGAGTGCGGGTACTAGACTGGCCTGCCTGCCTGCAGTCCAGACCTGTCTCCCATTGAAAATGTGTGGCACATTATGAAGCGCAAAATACAACCCAGACCCTGGGACTGTTGAGCAACTGAAGTCATACATCAAACAAGAATGAGAAAGAATTCCACCTACAAAGCTTCAACAATTAGTGTCCTCAGTTCCCAAATGCTTATTAAGTGTTGTTAAAAGGAAAGGTGATGTAACACGGTGGTAAAAATACCCCTGTCCCAGCTCTTTTGGAACATGTTGCAGGCATCAAATTCAAAATGAGTGAATATTTGCAAAAAACAAAAGTTTATCAGTTTGAACATTAAATATGGGTCAAAAAGGATTTGCAAGTCATTGTATTCCGTTTTTATTTACGTTTTGCACAATGTCCCAACTTCATTGGAATTGGGGTTTGTAAAATTGTAATTTCTTTTTAAATATTGAAACTCCTTCACCAGGGTGGCAGTGTCCATCTTTACATAATCAGAACAACACACTATGTCCATCCATCCATTTGTGATCTATATTGCTTATCCTGAACAGGATTGCTTGGGGGGCTGGAGCCAATCCCAGCTGACCCTGGTGAGAGGCAGGGTACACCCTGGACAGGTTGCCAGTCTATTATAGGGCTGACACTAAGAGGCAGACAACCACATGCACCCACACTCACTCCTATCGGCAATTCAGAGTCACCAGCCAACCTAAGTTGCGTGTCTTTGGACTGTGAGAGGAGGCCGGAGTACCTAGAGAGAACCCACGCAGGCACAGGGAGAACATGCAATCTCTGCACAGAAAGACACCAGGTCAGCCGAGGTTCCAACCCGCAACATTTTTGCTGTGACGCAGCAGTGCTAACCACTGCGCCACCATGCTGCCCAATATAAAGCATCCCTGATTCCTATTGTCACTCACACAAGGAGCAGATATGTGGCTTGACACACATCATCTGCATTGTATTTGCTATATTACTCACAGGGTTACACACACTGATAAGCTTGGTGACAGTCTCATAAAACATGTTTGCTGCTAGTGATACCCTCTGTTCCAAAAGGGAGAAAATAGCACATGAAAGGCCTGTACAATTAAAAAGATGACCATAAAAGTCCCCTTTTGCAGAGGCAATTCAGTATATTAATACTAAACAGTTTGCCATGTAATCTACTTCCTGTCCTCTCCAGGAGTACTTCCTGAAGTCTGAGATGCCCACCTTGCTGATGAAGACAGATGAGCCTCTTCCATGCTCAATCCCAAACTGTCCCAACTGCATCACACCTGGCTCAGCATTCGTCATGTGCAAACAACAGATGAAATGTGTAAGAAGACTAAAATACTAACAAACCAATTTCCTAATGCCTGTGAATACTGCTTTGTCTTTTAGTAGACAAAATTTACTATTGGCTTACATAGCTATTACTTATTTTGTGAAGTTTGTACTTTCAAAAATATTTGACTGTACTAGTTTTTGTCAGGCAGAAACAAAAAAGCAAAAAAGTTGTAAAACATTCAAATATTTCTTTTTTTAAGCCTCCTTCTTTGACCTTTGTCTAGACTGATGGTGTGTCAGAGGGTGGCCCGCTGTGCGAGAGATGTGTGTGGGCACGCATCGGGCCGACCGCCTTCCTCATGACTGATGATGTGATCTCTATGGCTGAAATACCAGAGAGACTTGGCCCAGACATCCGTGGAATAGTGTTGGCACTTTTCTAATACTGAACATTTTCAGGGACCTGAAATGAAAGTTTTCTTTAGAGTTGTCCTGAAAAGGAGTTCTATGTGACCTAAAACACATTAACCAGGACCTGAACAGCTAATAATAATGCTGGTCCTCAGTCAGCCAAAAACCCTAAAACAGACTGAAAACTTTTTTTTTTTTTTTTTTTTTTAAAAAAAAGCTCAATTTTGTTTTCAAGAGATGGAACATTCAAGGGGTCACTACTTACCAACACTGTGACCATGTTTCAGGGGGCGGCTGTGGCTCAGGAGGTAGAGTGGGTCGTCTCCTAGCTGAAAGATTAGATTAATATACTGTATAGTTGACATGCCCTCAAGAAAATCACCTATAGTTCCTAATGGCAGCCAGTCTCGGACTGCGGTTTAACCAGAGAGTTCAGTGTGATTATGTTAACAGTGATGGAGAATTGTGTATTTGTTGAAATGTTAATAAAAAAAGATGTTGGCAAGCTTCTGTCCAAAGATAAAAAATTTTTCTGAGATCTTCTCTCTTCCTTAATCATGTGATAGAAATCAATAGGGTTTTAATGGCTATAACAATCTGTATTTGTACTTTTATCTTTAGCTTCTTGTTAAAAAAAAAAGCAGTATCTTCAGACTTAAATGAGAAAACATTGCTTATCATTTCATAACTGGATGAGTAAGTAAAACGTTACACAGTTTGAATAATACCATGTTGGCAGGGGTTTTGTAGCTTTAACAATACTCCAGATTGTGTCCCCTCTAGTGACTGCACTGGGATGTAGTGTAATCTGTGCTCAAGATCTGATGGTTAACAGCTGCTACCAATTTGCCTTGACTTCTCTGGAACATACAGTGGATATAAAAAGTCTACACACCCCTGTTAAAATGCCAGGTTTCTGTGATGTAAAAAAAGAGACCAAGATAAATAATTCCAGAACTTTAGCCACCTTTAATGTGACCTATAACTTGTACAACTCAATTGAAAAACAAACAAATCTTTTTTTCAGTGGGAAGTAAAAATAAAAAACTAAAATAATGTGGTTGCATTAGTGTGCACACCCTTAAACTAATATTTTGTTGAAGCACCTTTTGATTTTATTACAGCACTCAGTCTTTTTGGGTATTTTGACATATGCAAACTGATCCACGATCCCTGGTATGCGATAAATAGGCCCAACACCATAGTAGGAGAAACATGCCCATATCATGATGCTTGCACCACCATGCTTCACTGTCTTCACTGTGTACTGTGGCTTGAATTCTGAGTTTGGGGGTCGTCTCACAAACTGTCTGTGGCCCTTGGACCCAAAAAGAACAATTTTACTCTCATCAGTCCACAAAATGTTCCTCCATTTCTCTTTAGGCCAGTTGATGTGTTCTTTGGCAAATTGTAACCTCTTCTGCACGTGCCTTTTTTTTTTAACAGAGGGACTTTGCGGGGGATTCTTGAAAATAGATTAGCTTCACACAGACGTCTTCTAACTGTCACAGTACTTACAGGTAACTCCAGACTGTCTTTGATCATCCTGGAGCTGATCATTGGCTGGGCCTTTGCCATTCTGGTTATTCTTCGATCCATTTTGATGGTTGTCTTCCGTTTTCTTCCACGTCTCTCTGGTTTTGCTCTCCATTTTAAGGCATTGGAGATCATTTTAGCTGAACAGCCTATAATTTTTTGCACCTCTTTATAGGGGAAAACCCATAAACCAATCAACTTTTTAATCAAAGTACACTGTTCTTCTGAACAATGTCTTGAACGACCCATTTTCCTCAGGCTTTCAAATGCATGTTCAACAAGTGCTGGCTTCATCCTTAAATAGGGGCCACCTGATTCACACCTGTTATTTCACAAAATTGATGACCTCACTGATTGAATGCCACACTGCTATTTTTTTAACACACCCCTTTCAACTAATTGCCCAATTGCACAGCCTTAAGAGCGTGCATATCATGAATGCTGGGTCTTGTTTGCTTTCTGAGAATCTACTGCACCTACTGGTAACTTGTTTGCCATGTAGCAATAAAAAATATACTAAAAACCTGGATTATTCTGGTTAGTCACATTGTACGAGATCCCTCTGATGCTTTGGAAGTTCTCTGCGGGCTATGGCTTTTGCTGTAGGATGCAACTAGGAAAATGTCAGGAATAGCCTACTGGAACAGCTGAACTTTATATGGGGTTAATCAGAGGGACTTTAATTGATGGCAGGTGTACTGACTCCTATTTAACATGAGTTTGAATGTGACTGCCTCATTCTGACAACAGTCACAGCCCCACAGTAAGAGGGTGTGCACACTAATGCAACCACATTATTTTAGTTTTTTATTTTTACTTCCCACTGAAAAACAGATTTCAGTTTGTTTTCAATTGAGTTGTACAAGTTATAGGTCACATTAAAGGTGGCTAAAGCTCTGGAATTATTTATCTTGGTCTCGTTTTTTTACATCACAGAAACCTGGCATTTTAACAGGGGTGTGTAGACTTTTTATATCCACTGTAGATAAGCATTATTTCCTGGACTGGCAAAATAACAAAAACAGCTATGAATGATAAAAAATTTTAAATGACAATTTAAAAAAATGTACATGGAAGAAAATAAAATAAAAATAAAATATGCATATTAAAAAATTTAGTTATTAAATAGGACCCCTCTGTCAAGCTCCTATAATTTGCCGATGACACAATGGTCATTGGTCTCATCTGAGACAGTGACGAGTCAGCCTGTAGACAGGAGGGTGAACAGCTGGTCCTATGGTGTAGTTGCAATAACCTAGAGCTGAACACGCTCAAGACAGTGGAGATGGCAGTCGACTTCAGGAAGAGCCCCCTCACCATACTCGGCAGCACTGTATCAGCAGCAGTGTCCTACAAGTTCCTGGGCTCCACTGTCTCCCAGGACCTGAAGTGGACATCCAACATCAGCACCATCACCAAGAAGGCACAGCAGAGGATGTTCTTCCTGTGCCAGCGCAGGAAGTTCGACCTGCCCCAGGAGCTGCTGATACAGTTCTACAGAGGAATCACGCAGTCTGTTCTCTGCTCCTCCATCACTGTCTGGTTTGGCTCAGCAACAAAGCAGGATAGGATCAGACTCCAGCGGGCAGTCAGGACTGCAGAAAAGATCGTTGGTGCAAGCCTGCCCTCCATGGAGGACCTGTACAGCTCACGGGTCAAAATGAGGGTGGAGAGGATCACTGCTGACCCCTCACACCCTGGACACAGTTCGAACTCCTCCCCTCTGGACGGCGTTACAGGTCACTTTGCACTGAGACAATCAGGCACAGGGACAGTTTCTTCCCCCAGGCCATCACTCTGATGAACACTCAACCAAGGACAGTATGACTGGACCATAACCCTCAGTGCAATAACTGTGACTATATCTCGTACAGATCATACAGATTCGTACAGACCTCTGTTTCTTGCACCAAGACTACCAGGTACAAGGCACAGTTTCTTCTCCTGGGCCATTACTTAACTTACACTTGATTAACACTTAACGCACAACAGTATGAGTGGTCAATAGTGAAGAGACCTCACACTCTGTGTAGACTATGCAAAAGATAACCTAGAATACACATGGTGTGCTAAATATAGACATGCCAACCTACTGTATATGTAAACTGGTCACAGGGTAGCTAGCTAATGATCACAGAAATATTGTACGCAGCACAACTATGTTCATAGTCTGGCCAGATTTTGTATCATTTCTCCAGTTTAGAAATTCATTTGCTGATCAAAACCAACTCAAGTGTGAGAAGATGCTGAGATGAAGGTTTGGGGCTACAGGATTCTAATGCTTTTCTTCAGTGAACAGTTTGGCTGTCTGGTTGTGACGTGTATTTATATGGCAGTTTATCTCATTGTGTATTGCATTTTAAACACTGCAGATGTGGCTTGCATCTGTAAACCTCAACAGTGAAAGGTACAGTGTTGCAGAAATGTATACAAACACACAGCTGAGCAGACAGAGAGGAATGGATGTGAAGGACCACTCCATAATGCAACAATCAGCCAGTAACAGAGACTGTGTGAGCAGTTTATCAAACAGCTGTGAAACAAGAAGAACACACATTTGCACAAATTTGCCTGTCGTTCCACTGCCATCCAAAGCAGGCTGGATGGCAGCGGAAACAAATGTAGAGCCTGTGATGAGCGTTGCACAGCTTGACATGTTTCCGTAGGTTCCTATGATAGAAAAACCTCTGAAGAGTTCAGAAGTTCAGAGTTGAGACTGTTGGTGTAAACATATTACATATTTGCATGCTCACACTACACTCTTTTAAAACAGTGCTGCCTGTTGAACACTTACATCACTTAAATTACAAACCCCCCTTTCCTTTTTTGAGTTTGTTGCAGGCATCAAATTCTAAATTTGTTTTGTATTTACAAAATGTAATTAAGTTCGTCAGTGAAAACAGGGAAAACCTTTTCTTTGTACTTTTGTCAGTTAAATAAAGGTTCAAGTAAAGTAACAAATCACAGATTTTAGTTTTTATTGGATTTTGGAAAATGTCCCATATTTTCTGGAAATGGTGTTTGCAACTTGACTTTATTCTTTAACAAAGTAGATACCTACATTGTCTCCTGTCTTTGTGTGTGTCTGTTTCTCCGAAGGGCATGGCCTTTTCTCTAGAGGAGCGACAGATTTTGGGGATACATGGTCTGTTGCCTCCCAAAGTGGAGACTCAGAACCTTCAGACTTGGCGCTTTCAGAATAATCTCAAGAAGATGACTGACCCTCTACAAAAGTAAGGGCATATTTTGCTTAAAATGTATGTAGTATGGCCACAGAATAATCTTATGTATGCAGTTTTAAGCACTTTTTATTTATTAATGTACCATCTAATATAATATCTGTCTCTAGCTAATATATCTTTAAACGCGTTCCGCTTTGGGGCGGTCTTGTATTCCTTCCTAAAAGCTTGGGTCCTCTACCAGAGGCCTGGGAGCTTGAGGGTCCTGTGCAGTATCTTAGCTGTTCGTAGGACTGGACTCTTCTGGACAGAGATCTCAGATGTTGTTCCTGGGATCTGTTGGAACCACTCTCCCAGTTTGGGGGTCACAGCCCCCAATGTTCCTATTACCACGGGGACCACTTGTGCCTTCACCTTCCACATCTTTTCTAGCTCTTCTTTCAGCCCTTGGTATTTCTCAAGCTTCTCATGTTCCTTCTTCCTGATGTTGCTATCGCTTGGGATTGCTACATCTATCACTATGGCCTTCTTCTTCTGTTTGTCCACCACTACTATGTCCGGTTGGTTGGCCATTACCAGTTTGTCAGTTTGTCTATACACACACACACACACACAAGTGTAAGACCATTTATCACCTACTGACTTGTTTTGGAGAAGATATTTTGTGTTTATCTTTTAAAGTGACAGTGGAGAGCAACAGGAAATATTTAAGAAGAATGAGTAAAAGGGCATTGCTGCCTTTTAACCCAGTATGACGTAATGCTATTAAGATAAATGACCCACACTGCCTTAAACAGCAGCTAACCTGTGACATATTTCAAGAGTGATTTCAGTGGAAATTAGTTGGTTGCAATGTTCCAAGCTTTGAGTCAGTTTGACTATAATATAACTGAGGGAAAGCACAAAAATAAAAGTTATTAACTGCATAAAAATATCAGCAGTCCATAAGTAAGCACAGAAGAACATTAATGAAAAATAAAGCTGTAGAAGCTTTAATAAATGTTAAAACATAATAATACAGTCATCCATTGATTAAAACATTTGAAGCACCTCATGCTTACAAGGTTTACAGGTGTCATTTTATACAGGGAAATTGTTGCTAAGGGAAAACCTTACACAAAGATAAACATTTGCATTATGTGTTAATGTCTTTCTGTTATGGCCAATTGGTTTTGGAGTCAGTTTAACCATGGCTGTAGTTACCATTCAGAACTGAGGTCACTTATGTGGTATTTTATCTGATAACTGTATTTATATGTATATTCCAGTATTTTTACACCAGGGTGGTTAAACACTACCAGTCAACAGTTTGGACCATTTAGAGTTTCCCATTAAATTGAATGGGAAGTTGTGTCTTGGGTAGGTGTGCATGTCCGAAAGGAGTTTTAAATTGCTTTTCTGCTAGTGGCTAGTTTTGGTTTTGATGGTGAGCTGCTGTTTATTCCTGGAATGTCTGCAGGCCATAATGGGATGCAGAATGGAAATTCCAGACATGCATCTAGTTTAACAGCCTTGCAGGATATAAGGCTCGCTTTTGTGAAGACTGGTGGCAACCATCTGGTTTGGTGTCTGAAGTGTTGTTGACCAAAATTCCTGAGAAGCTTCTAGTTCTCTTGTCTGCTCTGTGGGGACCCTCCCCTCCAGTATCACCAGATGTACTGCATATGAAATAAAAACAAAAACAAAGCACCAGGTTCCATAGTTGTCAGAATTAAAGCTCATGTGGTGTTCAAATATGGGGTGTCTTGAGATCTACTAAAAAAAGTTCAGCTTGGTGGGAATATGCAAATGACAAATGCCAAATCATTATGATTTGGCCTAATGTCCACAGAGCATCATATGGTCAAACAGAGGTGACACGCACATGCATAATTTGTAGTTCAGTTAATAAGTATTCCTCACAGCATGGAGGACAATCCCTTGAGCGCTTAAGATGTTATGTTGTATTCTGGCAGCAGAAGGTCATAGGGTCAAACTTTATGCCTGTCCAGATAAAACACAATTCATGGGTGTCACCTCTTCTCGTGACGGCAGTGGGAAGTTGTTTCTTGACCTCCTAAGATTAAAAGGAAATAAAAATAAGATTATAAAATTGATAAGTGAGCACAAGGGGATTTCAACCTGACTCTTAATACATTATGATTTTTTAAATCAGTTTTTTATTATATCAATACAACAACAATAAAACTGCTTCAAAATAGCAAACAAGTTAAGTGGACATGCGCACACACACAAAGAACAATTGGTGTGGTATATATGCAATACCAACAAATTAAATTAAAGAGGCCACAGTCTCTATGGCTTGGTTCCATGCACTTCTGGTAAGTTCGGTGGCTCCATTAATTCAGGAAGTGGAAAGCTGCACGTACAGAATATCCATAAAGGATTGGAGCCAGTGACTCATAGTGAGTATATGAAATGGGTGGCCAACATTCTCTTGGTGCCTGTTGTGATGGAAAACTGCCGTTATTAATATATTGCCTTACTAACATACTGATTGTTCCTATGCGATGTTTATATATAGTTATTTGTGGGCTTGTGAAACCACACAAACGTCTGTGTCTTCAGTGAAAAGCATGTCCTTATAGTAGATGTTAAACCAGACAGCTACTTTCCTGTGTGACAGATGTTTCCTTAAACCTACATATGACCTTAAGAGACCGAAACCACAAGCAACACTCATGGTCTATGTATAAAAGGAAATGCTCAGAGAGCTTCTCCTTCAGACTGTTGTGTTTGACATTCTGTGAGAGTTTGCTCCTTTCTGCAGGAATAAATGCGCATCAAGCTCCAGAATTGGTATCAAGTTTCATTTTGCTTTCACCGAATCCTGATAAGACAAATTTTGCCATAACACTGTTAACTCAGTCAATAAGATCTTTCTTTGAGATCTAGAGACACCCACGTGTCATTCAAATGGAATATGTGCATGGACCTCTGTATGGTTATGAATAAGAGTTGCGATAATTTGGCAGCAGCTTCGCTCCAAAAAACAGCCACTGGCAGACAATCCCACATCACATGAATGAAGAACAGAAACAACAGTGTGCTCTGCTGTTGGTTTGTTCCTGCTCTTTCCTGTTCCTATGGTAATCGTATTGACTTCCTGTTTACTGTGCCTGCACCAGGTTGTGCCTGCTGCAGATTGTTTACGGATTAAGCTCACTGATTTCCAGGTTTATCTGATCAACAGCACAATTTCTGAGTCACAACATATGCCTGCACTACTTAAGCACCTGTGTTATGGAATTTCTTGCTAATTTCCAAATTTAACTTGATAGTTTAGGTTAGCTAGTTTCTAAGCGAGTTAAGCTAGTATCTTAGGTAATTCTTTCTCTTGCTTGGAGTGTCATGCTCGCTTATTCCTCTGCCTCTTTTAGTGGTAATGGTACTTGTAATAAATGTCAGATGCTATCAGCATTGGAGGTGAGGGTCACTGAATTGGAAGCGTGGTGCCGCACCAAGGAAAATAGCTCAACTAGCCAGGCCCATGTAGCCAAGTAGCTAGCCCAAGCCCAGTGCTTCCTGAGCAGCTGGGATTTTAGCCAGGTGACTGAATGACAGGTCACAAGAGATGTAGCTCGCAACAAATGCCCACGGTTCATCACCTGCCTGTTCACGTTTCAAATCAATTTTCCCCTCTCAGCGACAAACCTGCTGATAAAACAACTCTGGTAATTGGCGACTCCACAGTCAGAAACGTGAAGCTAGAGACACCAGCAGCCATAGTTAAATGTATTCCTGGGGCCAGAGTGGCCAACATTGAATCCTATTTGAAGCTGCTGACTAAGGATAAATGTAAATACAGTACGATTGTTATTCACATGCAAACTCCACACAGAAAGGTCCCGGGTGGGGCCCGAACCCAGAACCTTCTCGCTGTACTCCGGCTTCCTCCCACAGTCCAAAGACATGCAGCTTAGGTTGATTGGTGTCTCTAAATTGCCCATAGGAGTGTGTGTGTGTGCGTGTGTGTGGTTGTTCGTCTCTGTGTTAGCCCTGCGATGGATTGGCGACCTGTCCAGGGTGTACCCCGCCTTCGCCCGATTGCCGGCTGGGATTGGCTCCAGCCCCCCCGTGACCCCGTTCAAGGACTAAGCAGTAGAAATGAATGAATGAATGAATGTTATTCACATCGGTGTTAATGAGTCCTGACTTTGCCAATCAGAGGTCACTAAAATTAATGTTGACTTGGTGTGTAATTTCATCAAAACAATGTCATACTTCATAGTTTTCTCTGGACCCCAGCTCAATCTGACCAGTGATGACATGTTTAGGCACATGTCGTCATTCATCTGCTGGTTGTTTAGGTGGTGTCCAGAAATGATGTGGGCTTCATAGACAATTGGAAAACATTTTGGGGAAAACCTGGTCTGATTAGCAGAAATGGCATCCATCCCACTTTGGATGGTGCAGCTCTCATATCTACAAATATGGACAACTTTATTTTACAACCTAAATTATGGCAACACAGAGTTGAGTCCAGGACGCCAGGTCATAGTCTCCTCTCTGCTGTCTCTTAGCAGCTGCTACCCACCCAAAACTCCCAGTACCCCATAGAGACTGTGTCTGCCCCCCGACCACCTAAATTATATAAATCAAAAATCAGCTCAAGAGGAGTTATTCATAAGAACCCAATTAAAGTTAAGACTATTCCTGTTACAGAACAAAATAACAGGGTAATCAAATGTGGACTATTAAATATCAGATCTCTCTCATCTAAATCTTTGTTAGCATTTTGTCTCACTGAAACCTGGTTACAGCAGGAAGAATATGTCAGCCACTTCAACTTTACTCCTATACAAATCAATAATCTTATATACATATAAGTGCCCTTCATAGTGCCAGAACTGCATATTATTCATCACTGATAGAGGAAAATAAGAACAACCCCAGGTTTCTTTTCAGCACTGTAGCCAGGCTGACAAAGAGCCACAGTGCTGTTGAGCTTAACATTCCCTTAGATCTCAGCAACAATGACTTCATGAGTTTCTTTACAAATAAAATCACACTTGTTAGAAAAAAATTAATCAGATCCTTCCCAAAACACCCCCAGGTGTGTTATCAAGTACAATGGCTTTAGAATTATTTGTAAGACATCATTTATATTTAGACTGCTTCTCTCCCACAGAACTCTCTGAGTTGACCTCAACAATTGCTTCATTTAAATCATCGACATGTCTCTTAGACCCCATCCCGACCAGATTGCTGAAAGCCATCTTACCCCTAATCAACTTGTCCATATTACATCTAATCAACCTCTCTCTACTAACAGGCTGTGTTCCACAGGATTTTAAGGTTGATGTAATTAAACCTCTACTCAAAAATCAGATCAGTTGGTCAAACTTCAAGCATGTCTTAAAGACATAAAGGTCTGGATGACCTGCAATTTCTTACTTCTAAATTCGGACAAAACTTAAGTCATTGTGCTTGGGCCTGAAAACCTTAGAAATCTGCTGTCTAATCATATAGTTACTTTAGATGACATAGCTCTGGCCTCCAGTACTGTTGAGAAGAACCATGGAATCATTTTTGACCAGGATGTGTCCTTTAAATCACACATAAAACAAATCTGTAGAACTGCCTTCTTTCACCTGTGCAATATCGCCAAAATCTGGAACATCCTGTCTCAAAGTGATGCTGAACTCTTTACTATTAGGATGTCCCAATAATTCCATAAAAATCCAAGGGGGGTTTGATGGGTTTTTCCTCTATAATAATAATAGTAAGGGTACCTTACTATTACTATTACCTTACTATTACTAGTAAGGTTACCTTGTAAAGTGTCATGAGATGACTTTTGTTGTGATTTGGCGCTATACAAATAAAATTTGAATTGAACTGAATTCTCATCACAACTGTGGAACAAGTTGTACATGGAGTGTTCAGGTAAAGGAAACTGCCATGAAATACTACGAGCTTTAAGGGCTGACCTGATTTGTAAGTCGAAAAAAGGAAGAAGATGGTGTCTGAAAAAGATTTTGTCTCCTGAAAAAAGCATAAACCTTTGTCATCATAGAGATCACCCAAATAATATATATTAGTATTAATCTAAACAGAAGGAAAAATAGGCTTATTATCAATTAAAAATCCGTAACTATAAAACAAAGGAGAGCAGGAAT